ACCCATTAAATAAGCCCACCTTTTCTGATGCTGTTGATAGTTTAGTCCCAGCAGAGTTGAATGCCATAGCAGCTACAGGAGAGTCATGGGCAGGAACCATTGTTACTGCCCGCTGTAAAATAATGTGATTAAAATATGGTCAAAGGTCAAATGGGGGTAAGTTTCTAGAGAAGCTGTCACAGTTGGGCTGCATTGGTGGGTTGTATTGAAAAAAATTTGGTTTTATCAGCGGAGTTGGTAATGTACCTTGGTCACTGTAAAGAGTTTCTTAAGCTGACAGTATGAGTCAGAGCCCCACTGACAATCAATTAAAAGTAATGTATATTATACATAATCCCAAGCCTTTTGATTGACATTACATTCAGGTTGTTCTGTGCCACAAGGGTGTGAGATATAAAGCCTAGCAGCACACTACTGCCTGGACTGTATGGTCTTTCACTCTATAATAGTATCAAATGACTTAAGGTTATGTCAGTTTTGTTATTTATCTTGATGATTTCTTACCAAATTTACACAGTCAAATATCTGGACCTCACCAATCTACAACATAAGCAAAATTTATTACATTTTTAATTATAATTCGAATGCACTAGATGATACACAAAGTTAAATACTACATTTAGATGTGAGCGCAATTGTTTTTCATCGCTATGGAGCATGTGTTCGGGGGCTTGAATAAAAGCCAGTTACTGGCAGTCTACTGCTCCCTTTCAGACATGTTATGTTGTCTGTTTTGCTTGCAAATGGACTCTCTTGTTTGCCTTTCACCTTACAGCCCCTTTTTTTGGGCACAACTACCAATTAAACTATGGGCAGCTGACTATGGCAAAAGTTATTGATAGCGAAGGTCATATTCAGCATACCTGATTGCTTCCAGGATAGGCAAGGTAACAATTATCAGAGTTTACAGAGAGGGCACATAGACCTAGGAAAATAGAGATTTGAGAAAGATTCCTTTAGTTGTAAGATTCAGTCTGTGAGCCACCAAATGAAAGAAAAATGTCAGAACAGTAGTACAATTGCAATACTGCAAACTTATTTCCAAAATTGCCCAGCTCATAAATGAATTTTAAGACATTGTTCTACAAACCTGATGGATTAGGAGGTGTATCTCTTATTGTGTGTAGAACCTATGGATGATGAAGAGGCACTGTCAGAAGAAAGTTTTTCATCTTTATAGTAAGGTTTAGGGGTGACTTTGGCTCTCTGACATGGATGTTTATAAATACCTTTTACTAACCAAGTTTGAGGGCAGTAATAGTTTTCTCACTTGGATTTATGGCCCAAGTGCAAGGCGTGCAGGCCATAAATTCAAATGAGAAAAAAATAAGGTTCTGTAACTCATAGTATGGACCAAGGAAAACAAGGTTAGTTAGATATTTATTACTCCTCTAGCTTCAAATATACTTTAGTGGAAATATTTCATTTCGCACCAACTTTTGAATTGAGTGAGCCATACAGTGAAATATGGCCTGCTAACTTGACTAATCATAGCACACACACTGAGATACATAATAAGAACTATATTATTCATTTCACAGTAACAAGGTTTACATGTTAAGAAACAATACCCCTCTCAAACCTAGAAATACAACCATACCAGTGCTACCAACCATCTTCATACAATTTCATTACACTCTCTATTAAGTCTTCTGTTTTTTAGCTTACCTTCATGTCTCTAATATTGTGAATATATAAACTTTCTTCTAACACCACAAGCAGCCGCTAAAATGTAAAGGAAAAAAGATATTAAAAAAAAAGAAAAAACAAGCTATCCAGTACGACATCAAAAAGAGGTTTTATTCCATGGAATTGGTAGGTCTCTAGTGCGAAAAAACTGTGTCTTGAATACCCATAACAGGGCAGACAATTTTTTCCATTACACTCTAGAATAGAGTTTTGCAGTTATAAAATTTAAGACAAGATCAGTATCCAGCAGACTCCTAAAAAGAAGATTACAAGAATGGTAAGAAAGATTCCATAAAAAGTTATTGCTTGACTGAACTACCATCATACTATCAACTCACCACTCTGTTTAGCCTGACTGCTAAGATTGTGTTGGGATAACTGTAGTTGCATATTTCTGTTCCTTTCTATAAAAAGATAACAAGGAAGTGTCAGTATTCATTACAGACCATGAATTTAAGCCTGTAGTGACTAATCAAAACTAAACATATTACTATTAATAATCAAAGGTTAACATAGCCTTTATTGATTCTTTTGTATTGTGTATGTTCTGTAAGTGTTTGCTAAATAAGTCTCATTCTTACCTTAAAATGACAGACTTTAAGTTTTCTAGGAGCAGATAAACTGACAATGGCTACAAGACTACTGGAGAATAGTCTTTCTACTATGCAAATGTCTTCTGTCTCAGCTAGAAATCAAAGAGAAAAGGTTTACCTTGTTATTCAACAGATGGTACCATCCTAAAGAAAGCTGCTGCACGTGACCATTGATAAATTACCAGAAAACTTTCTGGAGCAAAATAATTCACCTGTGGATATTATTTCAGCTTACTAGCTCTTTTTGGTTACAAAACAAATTATACCCTACTGAGGGTGATATAAAGCATAATTACCAATACCTCACCATTGCAAGCATGCGAACAGGAGCTTATTATGACGATCACTTTCCCATTAAGGACCCTTTTACTTGCTGTTTATGTCTTGTGTTCTATTGTATTATTGCTGGAGGCTCACAATGTGATGTCACACTCCGAGAGGGCATGACATAATTTTTAACAATATCAACTGAACAATGAGGAAAAAGGTATGTAAGAATTTTTGTTTCATCAAATACTGTCCTCCTAGCAGCCTCAGAATGCAATATGTTTGCAATTTCTTTTAAAGCTGCAGCTTGCTAAATCAATGATATGAAAACCAACCCAAATATGGGGAAATGCCCACACACTTTTAGAGATTGATGTTTTCAGGGTTAATTCTGTACACTTAAACTTTGACATCAGAGGTCATGTATAAAATCCAATTAATTTAACGGGATGGCGTTTGGTCGTCTAACTGTGCACTCGTTTCCTTCTTGCCATGGGAATAACAACAATGCAGTTTAATTTTTATCGAAATCTACCAAAGCTTTTCATCGATATATAGCTTGTAGTGGTTAGATCCTAACAATTTTTATTTTCGGGTCATTCGCGAAGATTAGAGTGACCTTCCATTGAAAATGGGAAAGGATAGCCTTAAGAATTGTCCAAAAGAGAGAGACATAAGAAATAACTTAGAGGTTAAGCAAAATTTGTGAACAAAGGAGAGATATGGGTAAAATCAGCTGATTGAATGTACGTGACTGTCTTGGAAGGTTTTAATGATTTTATTGCATCTCACGCAATCAAATCCTTTCGGAAGACACCGCTTCACAATTAGACTTAGGGACGCTCTTAATCACTGATATCACAGAAAGGTTTAAAACTAATTGTGGATAATGATAAGAAATCCGCCACAAAAATATTATGGGAAAATGACGACATTACTAACATTTACCTTGAACTCAACCTCGCATATCACTAACAGTTTACCCACCATAATCGTATATCTCCTCCAACTTTTCCACAGAATTTAAAGAGAACAATTTGTATCCGGCCTTTGAGCCAACTGCCAGAGAACTACGTAAGGAAAAGATGCAAAAGATCGACAATCAAATTATTACGAAAAATCGTTGTACAGTTTTGGAAACGGAGCCTTTTGGCGTCAAGTTCCAGGCTTATTTACCTACAGTCCTGATTAAAATTGACGCAGAGTAAGTTTCCTGTTGGATCCCCGCCATAAGCAGCAAGATTCATCAGTAATACTGAAGAATTTCACTCCAGTTTTCTTGCTTTCTGTAGAAGTGGCAAGTCGAATTCATAAATTTTATCAACAATAACAAAACACGCTAATGACATGCGCACGGCTGATTCAGCGATTCCCTTCCTACCCACAATGCAATATAATGCAAGTGACTTGTTGCTGTTGGTGTTTTTACGTCCACTTTTTGTCTCTTTTTCGTTAAAAGAAAAGGCCAAAAAATACAATGGAACAGTGTACGGTGTAGGAGAGGAATTTTCTGTTCCCACCCCTGCTTTTCATACCAAAACAAAACGTTAGACCCCAAGCAGCTTCGACGCCATAGGCAAGTAAAGTCGGCTGACGCAACCTCACGAAGAGTGGAAACTGGGGCGAACTGAAATTATCTCTACTTTCTTATTCAAGTTTATTTCTCGCCTACCTTTCGTGCAACAAGAGTCAAGAACCCTCTGGGAGACGGCAGGGCCATTTCTCCTTTCATGCCACTACGCAACGACAATTGACACTGTCAAAGTCAAAGCACTCCTTTCCCCTCTAGAAAAAAAAACGCAAATAAACAAGGGGTTTTAATTAGCCGGCCAAAGCACCCATGTACCCTCCGCTGGGGAGCGTTTCCCAGGACGGCAATGTACAAGCTACTTTTGGGCGCAGGTGCAACGATCACGGAAGACGGTGAGAGGATTCATAGAAAAAAGGATCGATGATAATTCTACCCTTGGTCGAAATCCTTGTCATTCAACTTGGTTGCCAAGTTTCATTTACGATTGTCGCGTCGAAACTGACGTCCGTAGGCTCTCTGTGGGATTAACCCTACCCATACACACGAGGCGGCTTACTTTCTCCTGTTTTCGTCCATAGCAAGCCAAAATTTTATTGAGAAGGATTTGTTTTTTGTCTTGTTACGAGCTTAGAAGAAAGGAAAACAAATTGAGTGCCTGTGAAAAAATCGACCCTCAGTCCCCTAGCCTCTCTGCTCCCATGCTCTACCACTAAATCAGAGATTCTATGGTGCGCTGTACCAGAACCATCTTCGTATCTAACACACGTTAAGCATACCATCAAAATCAGTCTGCAATGTCGAAACGTCATGTGCGTAAATAGAATAAAAAGATAATATATATCTAGTTTTGTTGTGGAACAAAGAGATGTTCTTTTTCGCCTGGACACGGGCGTGCCAAAGGGAGACTAAGATGACAAACATTGATTAAATAACATTTATTCATTTTTTTTTTTCAATTAGAAGAGAAAAATAAAACACTGTAGAAATATACATCGCAACTGGGAAATTTTCAGAACAGATAAGCAGACGAAGTCGTTTTCTGTGACATAAACAATTACCTCACTGAGTGCTCGTTATTAATTGATACCCTACGAGTGTATTTCAACGATTTACACTTCGAACACAGAATCACGCTCGTTGCGTTAACAAACCTCTCATTTCTTACATTTAGAATAGCACAGTTTTAAAATACCTCTAGCGCAGTTCGATTAAGCGTCACACAACCAAAGCAATCAACATTGGCCAATCAGAGGCAAGGAAAATTCCATAAGAAGGCAATGTGAACTTCAAGCAAATGCACGCAATTGGTCTCAAGCGCAAGACAGCTCGCGTAACAGTGAACACAGCAGTCAAACGTCAGGCAAGCGCGAGGGTATTAATCCTGACAGGCCGCGCATCAATTTCCAGCGCACAATATCATCAAAGGGGAACATAAGAAATAGAAATCTTTAAAGGGAAAAAAAGTACGGAAAAGGATAACCTAAGGACGGGTATCTTGTAAATTTACCATTCAGTTTGAGCTTTGCAATAAAAGTTGAATGATTTAAACACCATGACTTACTGGTTAGTGTGTATGTGTGTTTTCTTTTTATGTAACTCGTGTGAGACAACTTGGTTTTCACAGCGATCTTACATGCACCGACGTTTGACCGCTGTGTTATAATAGTGTCTGGAATGATATAAGTTTCACATTCTATCCATTAGTGGCAAATATTGTGGCGCTAATTTTCTCGACCAATCACATAGCGCAATGAAATCAATACGATGCAACCCCGGTTCACTTTCGATAGTCAATTGAAAATTGCACTGTGTGGCAACGAATTATTTTTATAAGTGATCTCCTGGATCTTTTGGTTATTTCCCGACTCTCAACAAGAAACTACGACTCCAATTCCCTACGTCTCCAGATATTTCTTAACCATATAATCTTCTATTTGCGAAGTTCAACAAAACACAAGGATCGTCGTTCCAATGTAACTTCCTCCTCATGGCTGATAGCGAAGCATAAGAATGAAGCTTAAAATTGACTCAGGTATACAAAGGCGACATCTGGCTTGATATCAAATCTTATCCACGATATAAATTGTCTCTCTTTTTTTGATGGCTGTTTTGGACGACATAAAAGTGTTTCACGCTCCACTTATTTAGTGACATTCATTTTCGCAAGTTCTTCCTGGAGATGTGTTTTAATTCCCTAATTCACCCTGTTTAAGATAGTAGCTTCAGAACTTTTCCGATAGCAATGGTTTTGCCTAAAAGTAAATGAGAAAAGCAAAATAAATATCTACTTAAATAGCTAACTAAATAAATATTTATATAAATAAATAAGCAAATAACTAAGCCAATAAATAAAATAAACGGATTGAAAAGTATACACCACAATTGATGAGCCAATCAAAACTTTCTAACTGCACAATACCCTTCTAAAATTTGCTTCTCTCCCAATGCGTGGCCTCTTAGCTCAGTTGATAGCGGCGCCCAGCTAATATCTGGGAGGCAAGGGTTTGCATCTCGTCGAAGCTTGAATTTTTTCCACGCCTCTTTTCTACAATTTCTACAACTTATCTGCGAGGACCATTGCTTTACTTGATGCACAATACATTGTTGAACAGTAAAAATTCCATATTAATGCCATATCGCCGTTACCTTCGTCTCTCAGTGTAAATCTTCCCATTTGTTGAAAGTCGGCAAATTTCTCGATGCACACAACTCCCGATGTTTGAAGCTGCGCTACAGCCACTTGGTCTTGTTTAATAAATCTCGGTCTTCCTTTCTGTCTTTTTCCCGTTTTTCTGTCAATTAATGCTATTAGAATCTACAAAAATAAGTTCACAACGAAAATAATCAGAAGAAAGAAATATCTTTGTTAAAAACACGTTCTTTACTGCAGTTTTGAGTGATTGTGCTGGCTACTCTGTACATTACAAGCTTTCTCTGAAAATAAAAAGGAATCAAAAAGCTTTTAAAGGTAATTCCTTCTTAGAGGAGCTGGTTAATATAGGAAGCAATTTTGGAGGCCCCAGTTATCAGCGAAAATCTTCGGAAAATCATTCTTGGCCAACAATTGAGAAATTTGTCTTTATGAAAATCCTCAATTTGATAAACAATTTGAAAATATGGAAACAGTAATTGTTTACAGTGACGGCAAACCAACAGAGCTTTCCAACTTGGTCAACATCAAAACAGATGGTAAGTCTTAAGATTAAATTCATCAGAATACACATAACCTACCTGGAAAGTAACTTCCTCTACGACATTGTGGATATGTAAAACAGCACTGTAACCAGCACAGATGATGGACTTGTGCTCAAGAATAACAACCTAATTATGAAGCAAACAAATGAATGGAAGGCAAAATGAAACTCCACTCCAAAGAAAACCCTTGAAAACTCCACTTTCTCCCTCAAGCTTTCTTCATACCTAACCCTTATTATCAACGCATGAGACTGTCATTACTGGAAAACTTGACCTCTTGGTTTCGT